TACCCCTTCTTTTTTCCCCTCCACCACCCCCCCAAGAAATTAAGAACCCGAAAAAACCCCCCCCCCAAAACCATGCCCCCCCCCCCCGGGGGGGTTCCCAAAAAAGGCCTTTTTAAACCTTTTTTTTTTTTAATTCCCCCGGAGCGGGGTTTTTTTTCCTTTTTCCCCCCTTTGGCCCGGTGGTTGTTTTACAAGAAAAACCCCTTAAAACCCACCAACCCCCCCCCCCTTCATGAACCCGGATGGCCCCACCAACCGGGGCGGAAGTTTTTTTTCCCGGATGTCCTCCCAATTTTTCCCCCAAAAATTCCCCCAAAAATTCCGAGAAGATTTTTTCCTCCCCAGCAATTTTTTTCCCACCTTTGGCGTGGCAAAGGTTCTTGGGGTTCGCCAAGACCCTTGCTGGATTTTTGGGTTCCGAAAAGACCCTGGGTTTGGAAGATTTTTTTTTTTCGGCCAGGGAAAGAGAGGGGGGGGGGGGGGGGGGGGCAGACAAACAGACATACACACAAACACACAAACAGACAGAGAGACAGACGGACAGAGAGACAGACGGACAAGGAGGAAAAAGGCAGACAAGGAAGAAAGGCAGACAGACAGAGATACAGAGAAACAGAGATACAGAGATAGCCACAGAGAGAGAGAGACAGACGGACGGACGGGCAGACAGGACAGCGAGGCAGAGGGAATAAAGAGAGGGGGAGAAAGAGGGGGGGGGAGAGAGAAGGAGCGTTGAATCTAACGAGGACTTGTCAAGTGTGTACACGCCTGTTGGAGAACGCGCTTCATACATCGGACGCGCGTAAAACCCAGTCTTCCTCTCGCTCGACTGCCAAATCGTGCCTCTACCCTGAACGGCGTACGACAGAAGTTTCCCTAGAACTACATACACACCGACGTGCGGTACCGCACGCATTCCACAGACCGGCCACGTGCTAGCAAAAGAAACAAGAACAAGAACGCCCCGCCTTCAGAAACAGCAAAAGCGTCCCGAGGGTCCGAGAAGTATCGTCGTAGTGCCAGCGGGGTACCTTGCGATTCGAAGTGCGTCACCTCGGACGTTTCCAATCCAAGAATAACATGCTCGGTTTTACCCCGCGTGCACCAACGTGCAAAAAAGGGTCGTAGCGGGGCCACTCTTACCGGAAAGGGAGATCGCACAGCCGCGCGAGAATAGCAGGGAACGGACCCTCCCTTCGAAGCACCTCCTGGTGCTCTCTGTTGTCGAGACAGAAGTACCCTAGCAGCGTCAACACCCCTTCCAGGCACCCCTCAGGCGCCGTCGGTTCCGACTTAGGCGGGGCAACGTCCTGGTGGAAAGCAAGGGGGGACGCGTCCCGGAAAGTTTCGAACCATAGTGTAGATGTATCCAGGTGTAAAGCATACCAAGAGACATTATTGAAGACAGGTTGAGAGACTGAAGGAAGAACAGACGAAAAGAAACTGAAATTGACGAGAATTGAATATGCAATAGATCAAACAAAAACGAGTTCAAAATTCGACGAACAATAACCGATGAACAAAAAAAACGTTAGATTGCTAACCTCTCTCCAGATTTAACCTTAGCACGACAGATGAGCTTTCCTGTGCGACCCCAGCTGGTGCACCCAAAGCATGACTAACGGAGCAGCCCCACGCGGTCGCAAAAGAGGGAACATAAAAGGCACAAAACACACACAGACAGCGTCTTCGCGTGTATTTTCCCGCTGGTCCCGACACTGACCCCGTGATCCAATTGGCAACCTCGCAAAAATCTCTCTGGCGCCATGTTGTGCGTTCGAGATTTCTCCGAATTGACAAACTCGCAATTCCGGGGTGAAGAACGCACATATTGGACGCGAGTAAACACAAATAGAGGGAAGAATGCAGCAACTTCTCGCGTTAAATTTGAAGGCATGTACCTCAGCAGGAATGGTGGGATTGGATAGAAACTCCTCTGTGACCTTCCTCCAGTGTGGCCGCGGCTGGTGCGTCAAACAATACAGAAATGTAGTATACACTGGCGCCCAGAGTAGGCGCCCAGAGTAGATGGGGCAAACACACACACACCTTTATATGTTTGACTAGAAAGTTTTTATGCTTGGTATCCCGCTACAAGACTGACGCCTATTCATTTTCATTGGTCAGCCGGTTTGCGCGGTCGATGCTAACGAAAAAAACACACAAACAAGACTGGCGTTCTTGCGGTCGATGCCGGGAAAGAACAACGCACACACAACACATCGCGAAGTGCCTCGAGTACAGCGGTCTGGACAAGAAGACATGTGTCTCATGTTTTCGATGCTCTATTTTTTTTGTCTCCTAACATGCAGCGACCCCCATTTGGTCGACCGTGTGACTAGATCCCACTGTCGAGCCGTTGGCAACTGGTGCTTACCTGAGCGCCGATCCTGTTGGTCAGATCTGCCAGTAGGTGATCGCACAGGAACAAGAACTCGGGCTGCAAACCATCGGCCGACAAAGAAGTCTAATGACCCGGTCCGAAAAGCAAGAAGCGGAAGAGAGAGAGAGAGACATCGGGGCAACAGACAGATAGACAGGCGGAGGAGGGAGGGAGGACGGGAGGGGGGGGGGGGGGGGGGGGGGGGGAGAAAAAAAAAAAAAAATTAATCCGTTTAAAAAAACATTAAAAACA